CCCCCCAAACCCAAACATCCATTTTTATTTGAAAATGAACTGAAGGAAACGGGGTGTGTGGGGGGGGTGGGGAGTGGGGGTTGTGAAGCACTTCACAGGTTCAAGTTCTGGCTGGATATCCACATGTATTTCTTAGATCATCGAGCTGCTTTTTAGACTCTTCATCTCCCCATATATCTTCCCATACCCAGCAGTGCCTAGTATCTCTTAATTTAGGTGCTAAGTGTGCTGGAAAAAAACCTGCATGCTAACAACCCAGCTTTTTTTCTTAAGTGTTTCTTTAAAGAAATGGACTTTCTGTATTACCCAAAAAAAAAAAAAAAAAAAAAATCTAGGCCTACTCACAAAATCATGAGGTTCTTTTTCAAATCAAGTTTCCTCAACAAACAGAGAAAAGAGGAGGGTAGCTCATTTTCTGGGCAAAGTCCAGAGGAAAGGCTGCTGTTATCCTTGGCGAGGCCAGCTTCTCTCTCTACTTCTCATAAAGCAGTTGAATATATTGTACAAGGGGCTGAAGTCTTCTCTCAGGGAAGTGATAAATACTTCCAGATGACCAAGAAGAATAAAGACTGATGTGAGGGTGCGCAAGTCCCAGCGTGGCCCAACAGCCCCCAAACCGCAGTGGGTTAATGGAGAAAAGTATAAAATTCTGTTCCAAAAAGGGTATCTTGCAGCCCTGATAAAATGAAAAAATGCCCCCTCACCAGTTATTTGGGATTTTTTAGCTTTTTACTCTGCTAGGAAAACCTGCACCCTTCCCAGCAGCGCCTTCCAGAGTCCTCCACTAGCCCAAACATGTCGACACAAAACTGGAACAACCTTGAACGGTCGGAATCAGAAAAAGACTGGTTCTCAAAACAAAGCTTTTGCATGGATCAGGTGCTTTCTAGCATGGAGTTTTCCTGGCTGAATCGCTGCTTCTCTGGGGAATTAGGTAGGTTGGATTTCTGCTGTTGGGAGTGGAATACACACACATGCATTTCCTCAAAAGACTCTGGTACAGCTCATTTGAAGAGACACAACCAAATAATGAAAGAAAAAAAAAAAAGTGGCAGGAGTATGTAGAAATATAATTGCTAGATTCTGATAAGGAAACATCTGCACTCCACGTGCTTTTACAGTCATAAAAGTATCAGGCATCCATGTCAGGAACTGCCTGCAAAATATAAGACGACATTGCAACAACACAATAACCATTGGTAAACTCGCTCAGTGCTTTATAAGCTCATTTTGCTCTTACCTATAACTTTTGTCAAAACTAACCATTCACATTGGAGCCATTTGTTCCCCATATGTAAAATGTGGGCAACACCTCTTCCATCTGGCGGGGGAGCGATGCAGAGAAACGTACTGGTCTGCCTGAAGCGGATCTTGTACGCCTCGGGGTAACGGGAGGAGGAAATTAACTTTTGCTGAGACTGAAATAGCACACCAGGGCCAGGGCTGGAATAAACAGTAAGAATAAAGTGAGGAGTATGGTCAACAATGAAGGCAGGGTTGTGATTAAACGCCCCCTCCCCATCCCCCCCCCCCGCACAAACATGCAATTCTTTTTTTGAAGACTATGTCATAATGGATAGGTGAGAGAGGTACCCGATGAGTTTCAACTTGTGTATACGTTATTTTGGAAATAAAACATTCCATACGGGGAGGAGGAGATCGGCAGAGCGGCGATACATATGGCGGAGGTCGGGGGTTGGTTGTGGAGTACTTTGTAATTAAATGACTGACCAGACTTGTGAGATCTTAATGGAGAAGCGGCGAGAGGGACGCTCTGGGCCAGCAAAGATGTCTGTTGTCTGGCGTTAGCGCTGGTTTACTGACATTAAACTCACGGGTGGCCGGACCAGCCGCCCGGCAGGGTCACAAACGCGGGCCTTGGCGGAGGGA